TTTCATAATTTTAGACACTTTTTCCTTAGCCAGCTCGTCTAATGCTAATAAATGCAGTTGGCATATTATGTATAAATATGCACGGTTTATTAACTACAGAGATCTTAGAGGATTTGTGAAAAAAGTTGCTGATAGGGTTGAAAAGCCATACTCTGAATTTATTAACCTTGGGCTTTATAAATCACATTTTAATCTTCGGCTTCTTGGATCAGCAAAGGAAGATAGAGTTAAAAGACCTGCAGTTTCTTCAGTTAAATAAGGATATCGCAAGCTAGAAGATTATTTAGTTTAACCTAAATCTGATTATTCTGAAATCTGGTCACAGACCTTTTCTCCTGAAAAGCCAGAAAAGGATGAATTCCAACCTATCGAAGATGAAACCACCTTAAGCAAGGGAGCTGGTTTAGTTACAACAAAATATGAGTGGCTTGAAATTGGCCATATTAGAAAGGGATTTGTCAACTTTCAAGCAAAGTTATATGAAGTATATCCTATTTGCGAAATCAAACATGAAAGGGATCAGTTATATGGTTTTTTTCTTAGAAGTGAATGCTTTGTACTTAGATGCTATCGGCAAAAACAATACAAACCTAATCATAAAGGATTGGTGTTTAAGGAAGCATTAGATATAATCAAGCCAAAAGAAATACCTAAACAAAAAATTGTTGATAGACTGGCCAATGCCATAGCAAAACCACGCACTCTTTTAAAGTTGTCAAGAAAAGTTATTAATGTTAAAAAGCTAAAAGACGTCCCTGAATCATATCCTGATTTCTTGAGTTCTGAAAAAACTATCACACTAATTCGTTCATCTCTGACAACATGGAAAACTACTACATTGAGATATTATTATGGAATTAAAAAATAAAGTGTATGATATTTCTTCTTTACTATGCTTTATCTGGATCTCTTACCAAAAATCTCTCAATAATGAATCAAAAGCCAAACTTGACTTATTAAAAGCATCCGGCTTTCAAATTTGCAATTACCAAAATATGCAAGGAGACTTATCTATAAATGAGTGGAACATTATCATAGTACAGGTTGAAAGTCTTTTTCGTGTCGAATTCATAGCCCGTCCTTTGTGGCTATTCTTGATGAGGCCAATGCTATTATACGCTAAATGTCTAGCAATACAAATGCACAAGAATCTGAGAATGCATTGCATGATGTTTTAAGATTTGCGAGACATATAGTCGCAATAGATACCTTTGCAAATAAATCAACATTAGCGTTCCTTAAGACATATCGTGGTGAAAACATTTGTATAATTGATAATAGATATCAGCCTTGTATAGGTTAGATAGTTGAAATTCTTTATGATCTGAATAGTAGAGCTGAAGCCATGCGAATAGGATGTGAACTTTTAAAACAAGAAAAACATGTGGCATTTGTATCTACAGGAGCAGTAATGACTAGAACTTTAGTAGAAAAGACATCAAAGTTGGTAAAACCTGATAATTCGCCTATCAGAGCTCATGTTTATTATAGAGATATGGATGAGAAACAGTGACAAAAAGACTTTTCTGATATTAATGTCGCTTGGAGCAAGCTTGACTGTATAGCTTATACAAATACAGTGGAGGCAAGAATATCATTCGAGGTTACAGGTCACTTCGATATAGTTATAGCTATTACAAACATTACCACTTCAGTTCATTTTGAAATACTTGCACAAATGCTTTACCAAATTCGTGATTGTTCTTGCCGTATGGTTTCTATATTCTATCAGAAAAATTCTAATGAACTTTTTCGCCTACCAGGTCGTGAAAATATTCAGGCAGAACTTGCTAGTGCTCGGCCTAATAACTTACTTACAGCAATAAAGGTCATTGTGAATGGGATAACAATACCATTTTTTATAAAATTGATGAATCTCTGGCTGTAATAACATTTATTGAAGTTGAGCATCAGAAATGCCTCTCTGTGAGATTCTTTATTGAGAAGCTTTGTAGTCTTATAGTCAGTACTAGCGCTTCTCTTCAGCTAACAAAAATGGATGAGAGTTGAGGAGTTATAGGAAATCGTAAAAAAGTCCGCAATGAGGTTAGGGTTGAAGCATTAGTTATCAAAGAAACGGATTCTAATGCAGTTGCTACTTTCCGGAATCTTGATCCTGAAGAAGCTGAAAATCTTAAGTTTGATCAAGAATGCTCTATTCCAGATACTATGGTACTTAAACGTTTCTATATGCAAAATATTTATGGTAAAGATATGGACGATAAGATTTGGGATAATCTTTGTAATAAAAAGTTTGTCAACCATTTCAATCTGCCTGAACCTCGAAAACATTTCTTCGGTTATCTTACTTTTGAAAGCAAAGCTATGATAAGAAAAGTGCAATGAAAGGGTTAGAAGCCAAAGATATTGCACAATAGGAAGATACCCATTATAAAGTTGGATATAATTCTGAGAAATCAGTAGCGGAGGACTTGCATAAAACATATTCAGCTAATCATTGAAAAGTTATAAGGGAACTCTTTCAAATACTAGGCTTTACTGGCATAGATAATAAGCATATTCTTTCTAGTAATATAGTATCAGAAACATTCACACAATTCTGCGAAAGGTTTATAGAAGTCCTGGATCAATCCCTATTACTTTTCGGATTCAAGTCTCGTGTTAAGGTAACATCGGATCTTAATTCAGCTATAAGAGCAATTAGTGTAATTGCTAGAAACTGGTGTGGCTATACTGTAAAGATAAATAGGAAAAAATAGAGCCTAAAGAAAAACAAGTTTGGGAACGTTCATATCAAATTAATTGGCAACTATATGATGGTCTTGATTTTAAAGATAAAGGCATACCAGAACTTTTACCATACAGACTGAAAACAGATAATGATGTTCAGGAATTTTTTGATTCTATAAAATAGGAAAAATAATACTTCAGCCCAGATCATTCATTATTCAGATAAGTATTTTGACTACATCAGATGGGAACATGTTTACTTTATAAACTTTGCTGATTCTGTTTTAGTTTTTTACTTTTGCGTTAAGTACGATTATAAATTCCGCTATAATTGCTACAGATTCTAGTATCAGAATAGGTTCCCTTTTTACAGACAGGACATATTATACTAAAAAGGGCATTATAATGTTTAGCGTATTCTAATTCACTCATGCATTCTTTCCCACAAATCGAACTATCTCTCTTAATGTATTGGCAGATAAAATGACCTATACGAGGTAATTTTGATATTAATAATCTTAAAACTTCGCTTTTACTTTTATTATAGATATTCAAAATTCCTTTGCTTTAACGCCTTCGGTCAATCTTACTCACTCTTTTTGTGACTCTCTAGCCAATTTTTCTTATAAATGGGTTTGGCATGTATTGTAGAAAAGGTCAGCCTATTACAGCAGGATGTGCACATTTTTTCTGGCAGGGACCTATAGTGTTTGACACATCCGTCCTTGCAAAAGTAACTTTTCTCACAGATAGACCTATCTTTTTTCTTATATGGGCAAGACCAAGATGGATAATTAGAATCTATAGAGTCCTCTGAATCAGATATGTATTCACCAAAGGGACCAAAGGGTATAGTACTTCTTTCTGGAAAAGTTTTTAAGATTAATATACATTAAATTTATCTTCATTTTTTATTATAGATATTCTACGAAGCGCCTTAATGGCAGAGCATAAGCTATATCATTTTTTTTCGCTCCTTTAATCTAGTAAAGAGCCATCTCTGATATTTTCCCTTTCTGAAGAAGTATAGCTTTGAGGAAATTATTCAAATTGAACTTTTTTCTATGTAGTATAACTAGGTAGCAATTACACTTACTTATTATTAATATGGCTACTGGAAAAACAATTTCAAAGACCTAAAAATCTAAAACTAATAACTTTGTTTTGATTCTAAAATAGTTTTTAGAAAAATATAACTTAACTGATAAGTCTACCCTAGAATAATTAAGTGAATATGCTCCTGAATTTAGTGCTTTACTCCCAGATTGGAAGGTCCATAAGTGTGTCAAAGAAGCCCTTGCTAGACAAACTGATAAAAGACGTACTGAAAACAGATGTGTATTTAGCAAAGAACAGATAGAAGCTCTCGTGCCAGATTAGAGAAAGAGTAACAGTAAGCTCACTATAGAGGAAAGAGCAAAATACTGTACTAAGACTGGTAATACTTTGGATATTTTCACCTATCATTTGGATTTAGGTCCAAAAAATTATGATGAAAATGAAATAGTTACCAGTGCTTCATGCCAGTCACAATTTCGTATAAAGTTAGAAAAAGCTAGGGTAAATTCTAAAATAGTTAATTACTGTGCCAAAGATAAGGATCTTATTCAAGAATCTAATAAAATTCAGAAAAAATGAACTAAGAAGAAAATGGCTAAAGCGCCAAGAATTCCAAAACATTTCTCCCTAGTAAACATGCAAAAAAGGATCCAGAATATGGATGTTTCTAAAACTCTCACTAGAGAAGATCTCGCAGATGTGATAGTGATGTTGAGTATGAGACCTGCAGAAGTAAGATCTCTTCAGATCAATTACTATGAACCAGACCCTTCGAACATTCCAGCGTGATATAAAGATGACTATTCTTAGTATTATACAGGTTATCTAAAGAGTAGAGGGGAAAAGAAAAAGAATCCTGTATCTAGACCACTCCTTTTCATAGAAAAAACCCAGAATGCGTCAGGGAATTGCTCACCTGGATTCAAGATGCAATTAAGGCTAAAAAATTACGTGATCCCATTTATACTGAAAGTGGAACGTGTAATGATACACCTTTTAATAAATTCCTAAAGCAAAGCCTTATAAGTCTCTTCCAGGACAATTAAGAGATTATGGAAAAAGACATGCTTCCAAAATTCATGGTGGTAAGAATCCAACTCCCAAATATCTTAAAAATCTTTTGAGAATTGCACTGAGACAAGAATCTGACCACCTTGATGCAGGTGATAATTATGCTATAGGTGATACGAAATCAGAAGATTCTGATCCTGAATCTGATTATAATACAGAGACAAAATCAGTGATTCCAGTTCTGAATCTGAGCTAAAATCAGAACCAAAAATACAGATTTCATCATCCCAGCTTAAAAATAATGATTATGATCCATTTGGGATAGAAATAGCAGAAATTGATTCGATGTTAGCTAACTTCTAAAGAAACTACTATATCCTAATTCATGTTTTAGTAATAAATAGTTATTTTGATGAAATAAATGCATGAGGGTGGTTTTATTTTTGGCTATACTCTAAGGAATATTTTCGCTGTAGGTATAATAATCGACTGTAAAGCATCGTATTAATCTACTTATTATTATTATGAATATCACAAAGTAATCCCAAAGATCCGAAGGAGACCTAAAACAAATAACTTTAAATCGATTCTAGAACAGTTCTTAGAAAAATATGACTTATCCGCTAAGTCCACTTCAGAATAATTAAGTGAACATAATAAAGAGTTTGATGCATCACTACTGGATTGGAATGCCCAAAAATGTGTTAAAAATCTTCTAACCAGACGCAAATATAATAAAGAGAAGAAAGAGGCTCTTCTACCTGATAAGAAAAGGAAAAACTAACTATAGAGAAAAGGGCAGAATATTACGCTAAAGGTAGTAATAAGTAGGATATTTACCCCGATAATATAAACTTAGAACTGAAAAATAATGATAAAAAAGAAGTTATAGCAGGCGCCTCACGCTAATTCTGATTTTGTGAGAAATTAGCAAAAATTGGAGTGGATTCTGAAATTATTAATATTTATGCCAAAGATCCAGACCTTATTCAAAGATCTAATAAAGTTCAAAAAGAGCGTTGACAGCTACGTGAGCTCTTCGATAAAAACTAATACCCCTTTAGTGCTTCTTTATATATTTGTATGCTTGTCTTTGAAGTACCAAAGGTACGAAAAAGGAATTTTATTTTTTCGCTCGAGGTAAGATCTAGCATATATAAAATATCACAAAAATGGTAACCGATCAAAATCATTCATCTGATGTATTCAGCGAGCAGAAAGTTATCAGATATACGAAGAAATTAGCCCAGATATTTAGACTAAATGAGCAAAATGCAGAAGTGTATAGTGCGCTTTCTGGCGAAAATAGGGTACTAAAGAAACAATTGGAAGATTATCATTCCCAACATAACATTTTAGAAAAGAGAGTAAAAAGATTAGAGAGAGACGTAAAGTCCTTAGAGACTGAATTAGAAGATCTGGATAAATGTGTGAATAGGGAAACTGTAGTCGACTTAATACAAGAAATAGTTCCCTCAATAATTGCTAAAAAAAAGGCCAAAAGGCACTATGCATAAGGGTTTCTCCTATTTATCTGAGTCTTCCGAAGAATCTGATTTGGTCAAAACAATTGTGATAAGAGAAAACGAGGCTATACCTCATAAGCAACAAAGAAAGATATGATCGAAAAAGGTTAAACAGTTGGTGGTTTAAAGTGGGCTGAGCCAGCCTAACCCAGTTATCACTCTGCGTCATAGCTAACTTTATTTTTTGATTAAAATATCTTCTAACCGTATAAAAAATGCAAAAAGATAATTTACTAGAACAACTTTTGCCAAAGTTAATACCATTTATTTTAAAAGATCTTTAATTCCAAGAATTAAAAAATTCTTGCAGTATAAATGATATGTGAGCAAAGGAGACAGATCTTGAACAGATCAAAAGAAAGACTCTTTTTGATTTTTGTACTATGTCATTGGTTCAAGACAAAAATACAGTCAAGGATTTTTATTCGAAGCTGGAAGAGTGTAACAAGAGTTTTAGCTATAGTGAAAAATTCCTTAAATGTGTATTATTAAAAGGATTATCACCTGAAAATAAGATTAAAGTTTTAATGGATAGTTTACAAGCACTTGCATTAGATGAGATACTAGAAAGGCTAGAGCAGTCTGAGAAGCGCTTTGCATGATCGTGAAATTTTATTTTTTATTTAAAGATAGAACATATATTATTTATGACGCAATCAAACATCTTTTATTTACCAGAACTATTAGAACAAATTTTATATTTCTTATTGATAGATAAATCCCTCTATCCTGTTCTATTTGTTTCTCGATTGTAATACAGATGTGGTGTCCCTATCCTATAGAGGCATATTGAGCTAAAGAAAAAAGACTTATATCCTGAACAATCTTTTCTAAATGATTATAATTACTGTATAAAGGATCACTCTCAATTAAATAAATTCATAAGGATAGAACATGCAAAGGATCTCTCTCAATTGAAAAAATTCATAAAGCTAGTATGTAGAAAGCAAACGCTAGTTTATTGCTCAAATGTAACCCATCTTGAAATATCTTACTACCATTCACTTTCAGATAAAAAAATCATAAGCATTATACATTCATGCCCAAATATAATCCACTTGGGTTTCATAAATAGCATAGGATTTAGTAATAGAGCATTAGAACTGATAACGGGTTCATACTTGAATCTAAAATATCTCAATCTATACATCGATCGGTCAGGTGGCTTTAAGAGCTTTCATACTCTAGAAGTGTATGATCTAGATCTATGGAAAATCGCTCAATCATGCTATAAATTAGAATATCTAAACATTTCATACCGCACAGAGTTTCTTGAACTATTAATTTGTAATATTATTTATTTCTATCCAAAGCTCCAGCATCTTAGTCTTAGATTTTGTCGAATTACCGATATAACTATCAAAGAAATTGCTGGTTCGTGTTTTAATTTAAAGTACCTCAATTTGGAAAGGTGTAGTAATATTAGCAAAAAAGCTGTAGATCAGCTCATTTCTCTTAATCCAAATATCTATATCGAAAATTTCGTGCTGATTCGGGTACCTCCCCAAAATAATGGAGCCTTAGATGTGATCTATGAACTCGCAAGGCAACTGGGGTTACCAAGAGATAATGCATCCTTAGATAATTTTAACCAGGAATTATCAAGGAGATTGAGTGAACGCTGTATTCTAGTTAGACCATTGCTCCAAAATGGTGATCAGTTATTATATTGACCCAGAGCCCTTTAGGATCAGATCATGTGAAGTATTCCAGATCAGAAGATTTTTGTGCGTGTATTCCTATATGGTAAAAAAAATATAGATTAACTAACTTATACTAGACATGGGCATTGGTCTGTACCAACTGAATTTTTTACGAAAATTTCGTGCAATTGTTGAGGAGTGACCTTCAGAAATAATGAAAGCCCTTTTTCAGTAAAATAAAATATTTTTACTTCCTTATCAATGAATCTCTGTATTAACATACTTAGAACATCTTCTAAGGAACTGTGATATTCCTCAAACTTTCGGAGATATGCTCTTGCATTTTTATCAGCCTCTTCTGTCATTTCTTGATTAGTGTAGCCAACAATATTGAGTTCTTCCTGAATTACTAATATATCCTCTTCCAAATACATAAGTAAATTAAATATCTCCCCAATGAAATATCTGTAGAAGCTTTATTACTTTAATATTTCACTTCTATAACAGGATTTTTATCAATGCTAAGATTCTCCTGTATTGGTATTAAATTCCTTATCAATTCTAATAACAATTCGTATGAATCAGCAAGTATTTTCCCCATAAGCTTGGAATCTGGAGACACTGCCATCTGATTTGTATTCCTACCAATACTGAGTTTTTCCCGAATAGCTATTATATCTTTCTTCTTATATAAAAACAATCCATATAATTGAGCAAGTATTTTGGGATTATTATTTGCCATAATTGCTATAATAAAGTAATATATTTAATGTGGAAATTTTGAGTTCAGAATACTGGATCATCGCTCAGAAAAATAAACATTTTTACTCCCCTCTAGACTGCACCTTCAGCAAAAAATGGTTCAGACATGTTAATACCCGCCAAAGGTAACAAAATTGGTGAGAAAGAAGTGAAAGGAATTATTTATAATAAAATATTAGAGGATCTTTCCATGTTGCGAAAGCAACAATCTGAAGAAATGGGTTTACAACTTCCAGAAATTACACGTAAATACTTGCAAGGGAAAACTCAGAAAGTTGTAAAGATATATAATTTATTTGAAAAGGTAGGTGTAAACAAAATTAAGTATATTACAACATATACTGCAAATGCTATTTCAGAGTTGACTAATAATAAACTTTAAGAGATCATAGAGGCCCTGGAGGGCGGGATAATTGTTCACTCTGTGAACACCCAAAGGAATTGCATCACATGTCACCAAAAGATGAGTCTTTGATTCCTAAAATTTCTGAAAAAATCTTACCTGAAGTAAATATATCAACTACACCTATGCCAGCTGAGGACATCTCTGCGAAGCGCTTTAACGGCAATTCTTCAGATGATTCCTCTAAAATCGGTCCAGTAGCTGTAAGTACATCATCTGTGTCTCAGATAAATGAATCTAACCAATCCAGACTTCTGATTTCTATCTTACCTGAAGATCCTGAAGAGAAACGAAAACATATCATTGGGTTGGTGCTAGAGAAATTTCCTTATCTATTTTTAGATGATAATGATGAATATTGTGACACATTTAATCTTGATGGTTCAACACTCTATCCTTTGTATAATGGAGACTATAAAGTGAATAGAAGTATATTTGATGAAATAAAAGGTGAATGAGGTGATGATGAGTATTACGAAGAACGAACTTATCGTCTCAAATGCAGGGAGTCTTTTAAACCTGAAATTCTAGTAGTATCTGTAAAAATATAGACAAAAACTTCATCATGTGACCCGATCACCTGAAATACGCAAAAGATATCAGAATATCATGTGCAGTAAGTACGTCATCTCTATATTTCTCCTGTGATTTAACTACACCTTGTGCTATTTACGCAGTGCTCTTATTTTTATTTTTAGATATGCTATTTTTGTAATAATGAAACCAGGTCCAAGGTCTTATGAAATGCCATTATATTTTTGCAAATTTATAGGATTAGATTGTGGGAATAGATCAATGAATAATTAATTAATCTGTTGACTTTTTTCCAGAAAGTTCTGGCGTAATACATATATTACGAATCTTTGATTTAGTATTACGCAGATTAATTCGATATTTCTGATGTTAGAATAAGATAAGAATTGGAATTGAACGTCTTGATCTACTGATTTACAGATTTCGACCCCTTTTTTCTTATATAGTTCAAAAAAGAAATGTGATGTGAAGTAATACACTTTCAAAGTTTTGAAA